TGCATCCGCACCTCACTAGCTGAGATTCATAGTCTAGCATTTTAGTATGAACTGATGTCCACAGGCAATTAAAGCAAATAGGCTTGACTGTGAACTGAAAGAGTTCTGATGTGGAATGTCCTCCGGCGGAAGGGATGGCAGAACAGCTGGGAGTAGCAATGCACTAAACCATTGCAGCTGCTTTGCTTACTGTGCTTAAGTCAGAGCTCTTCATTAGGTACACCATGTGTTGAAAAAGGCCACTACCCTACTAGGTGAGTTGTTCCAATGCTAATCTTCCTTAGGAGTTAAAAATTAACATCTTCCTTCTAAACTGATTTCTGCTGACATCTCCTTCTCATCATTGACCTTCTTATGTCAGCATCTACTAGCCTCAGTACTGGAATCCAGTACTTAGAACCTAAGTAGGATTTTTGAAAGAGTATGGGCTAGAACTTGGATGTTTCTTGGCTCTCTAGGCTACCTTCTAAAGCACGGAGGAATATGAAAGTGCTAATTCAGGGTAAGAAGTTTTGGAAAATGCCAGCTAGGCTATTTATCTTTGTGGGAAAGTCCATAAATAGGAATTAAGACTCTAATTATAGACCTTTTTTTAACAGATGACTACCATGAATGTAAGAGAAATAGAACAAACAAGTATTTTACTTCAAGTAGTGTGAACAGAAGTTAACAGTAGATCTTTATTTTTCCACTATTCAAAGAAGGAAACAGCATGGAGAATTAAGCAAAATAACCATGTTGAAACCTGGGTACATTTTAAGTATCATTAGGCAACAGTAAGTAGTCTGAAAATGATAAAATTATTGTCAAATGAGAAATAGATTAATGATAGCAATGGTAGTTTGACCATGCACTTTAACATATAACCTCAATTAATCCTTGGGTAATTGAACCTCCCATCTCCAGCAATTAATACAGGAATTAGACTTGAAAGGACAAATACATACAAAGGAAACGTAATTTTATCAGTGGATTGAATCTGAACTGTGTTGTCTTTGTAGACTTTGAAACAATGAGAATACAAATGCAGACTGTTGTTTTAGCATCTGCTTACAACTGATCATTAATGAGGTAATGACCTTCAAAGCTCTTCTTCTGAGTAGAGTATTTCTGGAGTTTCCCCAGTCCTCTAATATAAAAAGGACTTTTATATATATATAAAGCTTTCTATCACAAATGTATGAAAACCTATTTACTAAGAGCTGTTAACTGTAATGTTTTCTGATACATTTTGAATTTTAAACAATATACCAGAAAAAACAGTAGACACTGTCTGCTTTGAGAGACACAATGTCTCACAAATCAAAGACTTGTAGTCCCAACTGTTATTAAACATTGAGAGCTGATTAATTTGGATCTAATCTCAGTGAAGAGCTATAAATGAGTCACATACATTTGAGTCATTCATCTGACTGTATTAAAACATGATTTTTGATACAGATATGTTTAAATAAAAGTTTAAGTGGTTACAGACAGACACTTTATTCTGGCATAAATCCAAGCCCCTGATAAAGGGAATTGGATTGCCTCTAACTGAACTCAGAGTAAAAAAGAATAAAGATTATTTTTTAGGTCAGAACATTGATCTAGCTCTTTATACAACAACAGAAACAGTCGTGCCAACCCAAAAGAGAAGGTAGGCACCAATAGCAAGAAAAGGTAACACCATCTGCTTCTGCAGCAGGGTGGATTCATGCAAGATTGAAGTGACCATGTAAACACAGCCTTAAAAATGAAACCTGCTGGCTGGAAGAGTCTGTTTCTTCAAATAGATTAATGATTTGTTTACAACAAGTTAAGCCACAAGGGAGTCCTTAACAGGCTTTGTCTGCTTTCTGGGTAAGAGATGGTTCCAACCATCCATGCGCTAGAAGCATTAGCATTTATAAGAATTTGAATGTGATAGGAAATAATTGATTAGGATAAAATTAAAGTTAACACAGTGATTAAATCAGAGTTCACAGAAATTAGCAGGGGAGGAAGGCAATGGAATCTTACTCTGAAGGCAATATGAGGGAAAGTTCAGGTCTGTAAAGGCTGGATGTGTCCCCAGATCTTCATTCTCTTCCACAAAGTCATGCTTAGGCCTGTAGAAAGGACTTGGGAAATACGGTCTGTATAAAAACAGACTCCCAGACAGATCTCTGAGCAAGTACCTTGATAGCTGACTAATACGAACCTTTAAATTTTTGTAGCCTTTATTTTAGGAAATGCAGGTGGTTTTATTGTAAACCATTTTCATGTTGTATATTGTGTAAACACATGTATTAAAAGTAAATAAAACCCCAGGCAACTGGCAAATACTAAGGCATTCCATTCCTACTGGTACTGCCCATGATCAAAGATTATTTCTTAGGCATATTCATAGTATACAAGCACTAATCCAAGAAGCCATGCTAGGCAGACTGGAAGTTAGTAAAGCTGTTGTGAGAAAGAGAAGACTTGTGATTCTTGTGATTAAGATTCTGTGATTCTTAACATTAGTCAGATGATCCTTGGATGGAATACAATGGTGGGGAGTGTGTGAACACTGAGGATTTCCCATGGAGTCTTTTATGATTGTATTCTAGTTAAATCAGTATGTGGGTGCAGCTGCTTCAAATAACCATGTCAGAAGCAAGTCTAGCACCATTGCAGTAAGTTAATGTTTAGCTCATTTAATGTTAAAACCTGTATTACTTGCTCAAGTAACACAGACTTCCCTGCAAAACAAATTGGATAAAATTATTTCTTTTCAAAGGTGCATATTATCTTCAATAATTCAGATTATGCTGTGTAGTTTTCCATTCTCCTCCTTAGTCTCATATTTTCATTCACTGTATGTCTAATATTTCTGGATGCTTTAACACATGTAACCACTCTTCCAAGTTGCCATAGAACTGAACGGGAAGGTAAGAAGGTATTATAAAACCACATTAATCTTCTGACACTTTGAGTGACAAACACTACACTTGTATAATCAGGAGCTGATTTTTATCTTCTACACAAACCCTGTATCACTAGAATAACAACACTCAATGTTGATATAGCTGGGTAGGAAACCTGAATATTAACATGTAGCAATAAATCAGCTTAACTTTTACTGCTTGGGCATTGAGATATACCAAAGTTTTGACACTGGCACACAAAAATGGATCATGTGTGAACTGCAGAATGGAAAGGCTATACAGTAAATAACACATCAATATGATTTACATTCTATCTCTGCTACTTTTATGCATCTTCCCCCTGGTCTTTAGAATATTACTTTGGTTTTGCACACCCACTGAATGCAAAGTCAGTGGATGTTACATCTTTTCTGTTTCTGTTCTGGCTTACATGGCCTAGCTTTTCCTGGGAGCTACCTCTACTGGGACTTAACTGGGAATTCTGTCTTTAACAGGTAGCTGAAAGCAGCTGAAATCCCTTACTTTTTAGCATTTAGCAAAGCCTGGGCACAAGGAGTACTTGAAGAACACTTCAGAGCTGGAATAAAGCACCTGCTCTCACATATGATGAAGATGTCATGTACTAAGTGAAAAATACATCCCCTAATGAACATATGCCAAGAACTGTTCAGATCCAGACATAACAGGAATGAAACATTTAGATCCTTGCCAGCCATATGGGAGACCTGCATTTCCCACTTACTGCCAGCCTGTCATTCCAAGGGTTGGCATAGAGCACTGGATGAAGTAATGGCTTGAGATTATTCAGCAAAATGTTTTAATGTCTGCTTTATGGTGTCCTCTGTGTTGCCGTTCTGTTGCAAGCCTGTAATCTAGCTGAACTTGTACAAACCACTCAGCTGTAGAGGGAGGTGATGCAGAAAGCATGGCCATCTGGGCCTGCCTGAATAGGAACAGAAAACCCTTACTGCAGGAGTTGCTGGCTGTTATTAAAACCAGCATTGCTTTTACAGGAGTGCCAAATCTTACTAATTATTTTTCAGATTTATGCTTCAGAGTGACTCTGGCGGCAATTATATTATTCAAAAAGCAGCCGCAGACTGTTCTTGAATCTTAAAACACAAGTCTCTTTGCATTCTGCAGAGCTAGAGCTGTTAATACTTTGTGAACTCCTCACATTTGGTTTCCAGATACAAATCTTTCCTTTAGAGTAAACCCTGCCAAAACCAAGTAACTTATCCTTACAGTAATATTTTTGTGACCTGTCTTTTCATCAAAGCAGCCTTCTTTGGTAAGCATACGGAACACAAAAGCTGTAACATGCTACATTAATCTCCTCATTACTTTTAACCCTACACCGTGGCATAATCTTTTGGCCCAAAGCCTTGCAGCCAAAAAGCATCTGAACAGCAGACTCCCAGCTCTGACTTTGACTCTGCTAACACTGCATTAGAAGAAGTCACCATCAAGTCGTAATCACAAGAAGGCAGAACAAAAACCAAACTTACGTTAGCAGTGTTCCCACTAACTTCAGTTGGTCTGGCACTTCTCACACCGTTTGAAGTGTTGAGATACCCACTGCTGAAGGAGCAATTGGTAATTTTTTCACTACTTTACGAGCCTTACATCCCTCATCTCTGTTAACATAGGCCCAAACAAACTCCGTCCTTATTTTGGAGGAAATAAGGGGCTTTAGACTGTACAGGCCCACAGCTGGTTTTAATACCCTGTCCAGTAAATGACGGGAGCCTGTTCCCAATCAATGAGACACGTTATTTATTAACTGACTTCTTCATAATTGTCCCCAGACCGGGCCCGACCACTTTCGGGCAGACCTGAGCGCCGAGGCACCTCGAGGGTGGCTCTCAGCTCGACAAGCCCCACTCCTACTCCTCATGGCCCGGGAGCGGGAAAGGCGACGGAACAGCCCCACTGCCTCCACGCGGCTGAGGGGAGAAGGCGGAGTCTCCCCTCATCCCGCTTCAGGCCCTCACGGCTGCAGCCCTCCCGTGGAGCCGCGGCTGGGGGCGCGGGCAGGCTTTCCCCTAGCTGGGGCGGCCGCTGCCCGCCCTTTTTGCCCGCTGACAGCTGCTGTCGTTCGGCGCCCGCGCGGGCGCCAGTGCCCGAGGGCCGCCGTACTCGCCCCTTCTTCCCTCGCCGCTGCCGCGCGTGTGCCGTGCCTAGCCGAGCCGGCGGCTGCGGCGGCAGGCGGGGAAGCGCTCCTCACCGCTCCGCCTCCGATCGCCGCCCGCTGCGGGGATGTGTGATTGCCATGGCGAGGCGGCTCTTCCCGGGGGCCTGGCTCAGGAAACCCCACTACGCGCAGGTAGGCCGGCGGCGGGCCGTGGCAGCACCCTTCCCTCCCCGCTCGTAGCCCCCTGCGAAGTTACCTCAGGAACGGGCGCCCCCCGCAGGGCTCGCCGCTTTCCCCGGCCCGCCGCGGGTGCGGCCGGCGTTCGCTCGGCTGCGCAGCGCGGCAGCGGGGCTGAGACACAAGCCGCGGCTGGCGGGCCCCTCGGCGGCGGGTCTCGGGGCGCGGGAGCAGGTGGCGGGCGGCCTCGGCGCCTGTTGCCGCTGGTCGGATCGGGCCTCGCTTTCCGTCTCCGGCCCGCGCTGCTGGACCTGTTACGCGGCCGCCGGCTCCTCGGCCCCCTCGGGGTTTTCAGTTGAGCAGTTACACGTTGCCAGGGCCCGGAGGAACTCCGGTGCTTCTCTCCACGTGTCCCTCCCTTACACCTGCGGCCGGTGCTGTGGACATTCATCCCATCCGGGGATGGACTAGAGTTTGCATGAACAGGCGCATTTATTTCACGTGTCCCGAAAGAATCGATGTCCGGCACTTTCCTTTTGCTGTCGAGTAGTTATTTGCTTCATGCATTTGTGCATGCGTTCATAGACACACTTTTGTGTTTACATACACCGGTACATGTTTGTATTACTGAAGTTGCCTTAGTAAGGCTGCTTCGGTTGAAAGCACTGTGGCTGCTATGTAGAAGGAAGCTCTATGGTGAAATGTGAGTTACGACGTTGTGGTACATTAGAGGGTTATTCTTTGGGATTCCTTTTCATCTGTTGCATTATATTAACTAAAACAAACATTTGTTGAGTTGGAGAGGATAAATAAAATGCTTACTTATACATACTGCTTATGTGTTTGTCATCTGTTGATATTTTATGGACTGCTTTCTGATCACTAGATTAAAAGATGTGAACTTTATCCTGATGCATATTAAAGTCTTGAATGTTTTAATTCCTCCTCATAGGGAGCTTTTATGATCTTGTTATCTGTTTGGAAGTTCCTGAAATAGGATATAACATTTAAGAAGTGTACAGATATGGGTATAATGTTACATATTAGTTTTATAATATGTATCTGGGTCAGTACCACTTTAATTGATAGACTAGAAAATATTCCTCTGCATCTCTTACCGAGGTAGACACTTGTACAGCATTTGGATTGCCATAGGAGAGAGCCTCTGATACAAATGAAGATAATTGATAATCTACATGCCACCTTTCAAATCAGGGTTCTCCAGAATGTTTTTGCCCTGCTAAGTCACTGATCATTATATGGTGATATCTGATAACATTCTTCTCCGTTCTTTTTGTCAACATTCATTTTAAGGCCTTTCATGCAAAACGTTATTTCAAAATCTGCTGAGAAACAGGAAAACATCAAAATCATTTATTACAAAAGCCTGAGTGGTAAGATATTTGCTTCTACTGCAGACTGAAAAAATATTTCTGACTGTGCTTTTCTATACTTTTTTTTATAGCTCCATGTAAATATTATACAGGTTTGGTGTAGGAAAGCTAATAGTGGCTTTGTCAGCATCAACACATTTGCCTGTGTTAAGACAGTGAATGTATGTTGATATTTGATACGTCCATAGAATGGCAGCAAGCTATCAATACATTGACTTTTCCTGTCACTGTGTGTTACTGGTACATGACAAATGTAGCCATGGTTTAGCAATACTAATTGTTGAGGGCTTTATTGAGATTTGTCTCCAAAGAAGCCGATGTTCTCTAAGTAAATGCTAGATGTTAACTCACTTAGATGTAGCTACAAGCAAGATAAAGATACGTGTAGCATTGCTATGCACTATTTCAAGTAGCACACTAGGGAAGATGGTTGTACATGGAAGGTATTGCTGAGTGACTTCCAGATGTTGTTGGCTGGTGTTCCATACGGTTTGAAAATGGTGTGAAGTGAGCTGATAGAACATCAGATTCTGCAAGACAGAGCTTAATACCTGCCCTACCTTTCTCGTGTAAGAGGAACAGGATGCTATGAGATGGTTTGCAACTGATACTCTGTGGCAAATGTATTTTATTATTATTGATTTTAATTTACATGTTCATAGCCAGAAGGATGTGCTGTCAAGTGTCAGCTCATGCAAAAGGAGCAGGGTGAACTCTTGGATATATCACTTAAATCCAAAACCTAGTGGTTAGGGACCCACACAGACCATCTTTCACCACAAAATAGTAATTCTGAGATGCAAAGTTTTCCCATTGCTTAGGCTGCAGATATGTAATAATAGAAAAGAAAACAAAACAAAGATGTCAAGCCTGACAAATTTAAACACTACTAAATACCACCAAAGTATTATTAGATTTTTGTTTTTATTAGGATCTTACAGTTGGGTGGTTAACACTGTTCACATTTTACATTTTACCAGGAGAGGTTAGTGTCCCAGATTCGGGAGGCATTGTCCTGAAGTTCCTTCTGATTAGTTAGCAATTGCATCACGAGGCTGAGGGTAAGCCAGCGGGATTGTGCATTACAATAACTGTGTAAAGAACATTCATGTGCCTGAAAGGTTTCTGGCCTCTAGAGATTCTGGACCAAGTTTACAGACTCTTTAGACGTGTCCCATGGACTTCAATATTGAACAAGAGACTGTCTTTGGTGATCTAAAGAATCAACAAGTTTTAAAGCCCTATATAACAGAATTTTTCTATATAATCTCTTTCCTGTAAGATTCTGATATTTGGTGGTGCTGCTGTTTAACTTTTTAAGGAGAAACATTCTGTTTTCCATCTTGGCCATTATTTTATTTCAAAAGAGATTTCCAACTCTGTTTACTGTGTTTAGTTACTCAGGATACAAATAAAGTGCATGCATAATCTAAGCATGCACTGTCTGCTCTTAAAGGTGTGAATGTATCCAGTACATGGCATCCACGGCAGCATGGGCTAATGATCTCAGACATCATGTCAGCCTACCTGAAATGCATCTTATGATCCGTGAACCAACCTGAACAGAGAACAAAGCAGGATTCCCTACATGATCAGCCTACAATTTTTGTTTGTTTGCTCTTTCCCATTGCTCTTATGTAAAACATGGAGAGATCAACTCTCATTTGGAGAGGATTAGTGCAGTATGGTTATGTGGAATACTTTGCAGGATTAAGCTCTCTGTGCTATTCAACAAAGAAACACTTTCATACTCTTTAACCATAAAAACATTTTGAATAAAAAAAAGTACACTTACCAAAACCTGGCAAGTTATGTTGCATTTTGATTTGCTTCTCCCCATATGCTTTGGAGTGCATCCAAGCTTGAGTTTTGCCAGAAGTGATTTTCCAGTTCTGTTTCAGGGAATGAATGCCTACTTATTATTCAGTGCATGTGACTTAGTAGAATATCCAAGTGATAGAAGAAGTTGACTCTGTAGTATCCTTTCAAGCATTACAAGTGCTTTCCCTCATCCCTGTGTTCTCTGGTTCATATTTAAAAGTCTTGGTGGAAGAGTGGAGCAGAAAAGAGTAACCCTGTTTCCTGGTTTTGAACACTTTCTTCCGTTTTAAATTATTTCGGAACTCTCTGTCCTTCTGTTGCCCCAGATATGCTGTTATTATAAGTTTCCTAGTAGTTTGTCACAATTCCAAATCAAGTCTATCTGTACATATTGTTTCCTAATCTCTGTCTGTGACTTTTTGCTCAGAGAAGTGTTAAAATGATCTGCAGAGCGTATGTGCAGTAGATCTGCTGTATTCAGGGTGCATGACGGCATGTGTGACCTAACCAGGCTCAGTAAACCTGTGCCCCGACTGCATTAGTACAGCATGTGCGCATCAGTTCTGATGCTTCCTAGATGAGGTGGAATAAGTGTGTCTACACTCACAGACCAGTTCTGGGAATGGAAGCTTGATAGGGAGAATGGATGAGAAGAAATCAAATAATGATCCGGCCTTTTGTGGCATTAATAAGGAAATCCTTATTAGAAAAGTAATTACCTTTGATTCAAAGAGAGTGGAACTTGTGGTCTCCTGTAAGCGGACGCATGCTCTTGTCCATGCTCTGAACTGGCAGGTTGTCAGTCTTCTGCAAGTCAAAAGCTGTGTGACTGCACTGGCATCATGCTGAGCCCAAAATAAATCTTAACTTCGCTGGAACCTCCTGCCAAGTATATGATGTAGTCAGATGGCATCTGGGGAGGATTTTTTGTCCCAAACACATTCTCTTTTTGCCTGAGGAGAAGGCCGAATTTGAATAAATGCATGTGTACAGTATTCTGTCCTGTACTGTGAGTATGGTCAATACTCTGCAGTGGTCTTGAGGCCTGCAGACCTCTGGTGGTCTCTGAGATCATATTGAATGGTATGTATTTAATAAAAAAATAGCATTAAATAGCACTTTGGTTTAAAGTTTAGTATTGTAATTATTCTATGATTCTATGATTATAAAGGTTCATGGAAGGAGTCAGAAAGAAACTTTGAGGAATGAAGAGGGTTTGTTGTCCCAGAAGCTTTGGTTCCCAAGCAGTTTTTATGGATGAAACAGCTTTGCCTTAAACTGTCACATTTATTTCTATTCTCGTTCTCAGATTTTACCAGGAGTTGTATGCACTATATTATTTGTATTCTACAATATTAGGGTTATTAAAAATAGTTAAAAAAACCCAAACATCATAAACTTGTCCCTAAAGGAAATCACTGTATCTTATTTTTCAAATAGATGAAAGATAATCATTAGCACTTACTTGCTATAATTCCTGATTCATAGGAGCTTCCTCTTATCTATGTGTGGGGAAATACAGAAGAAAGTTGATTTATTAGAAGTTTCAGTGATCCTATTTTAAGAGCAGACATTTTGTAGAGAAGCATCTTGTGACGGGCATTGTCAGAATTGTCTGTAGAAATGAGGATGCAATAACATCATTTTTAGTTCTCCCTGTAGGTGTTCTGAGGTATTTTTTTTTGAGGCCCTGAGTAATTAAATAGTTATGAAAAGCTCACTTCTAAAAACAAAAGTAAAATTGAAAGAAAGCAACTGCTTTATTCGGTCTTTGCTGTTCAAACTGACCCAAGCGTCCTG